GCCTCCCCACCTAATGAGTTTTCAAGATGTAGAAACATTGAAATGAATTAGGCAAGGAAGAAACTCTTTTAGGATGGGGGCACAAAGAGAATTAAGAGAAAAAAACTCCTTCTGTAAGCTGAAGCCGGAAAAAAAAGCAGATGATATGCTGACCTCTGTTATCCTTATGCAACCAACTGCAGAAAAGTATCAGCCCTGTGCAGCCAGTCCCCAGCTCCACATCTGGAGCACAGAATAGTCCCATCACTCTTCCCAGCTTATTACTTTATTGTATAAAACTCCTTTCTATATTGGACCCTACTTTATACAACACTACAAATCTGATGTGGGAGAATATTATTACTACTCTGCATGGCAAGATTCAATGGCTTGCCCAGGAAAACCCAGCCACTAAAACAGAATGGAGCTGGGCATGGTGGCTCATACCTTTAATCCCAGCCCTTGGGAAGCAGAGGTAGGCAGGATCTCTGTGAGATCACAGCCAGCCTGATCTACATTGTGAGTTCCAGGCCATCTGGAGCTACAGGGAGATCCTGTCTCAAAAAGATGAGAGCAAGAGCGAGAGCGAGAGCGAGAGCGAGAGCGAGAGGGAGAGGGAGAGGGAGAGGTGGAGAGAGAGAGAGAGAGAGAGAGAGAGAGAGAGAGAGAGAGAGAGAGAGAGAGAGAGAGAGAGAGAGAGGTGAGCTAGGTGTGCTGGTTCCCCACCTATAATCCCAGTACTTGGGAGGTTGAGGCAAAAGGATTACTATGAGTTCTAGGCCAGCTTGGGCTGTACACAGGATTGCCCTCCAAAAAGGAAAGAGGGGTTGTAGAGATGGCTCAGTGGTTAACAGTGATTACTGTTCTTGCAGAGTTGTTCAGTTCCCAGCACCCACATGGCAGCTCACATCTATCTGGAACTCCAGTTCTGGGGACTCCAATGCCCTCTTCTGGCCTCCATGGGCTCCTGCATGCATGTGGTGCACTTACATACATGGGTGCTGGGATTACAGCATGTACCAACACAGCACCAACAGATATATATTGAGTTATATACAATATTCATTCAGATATTAATTATTAGGTGCTAGTCATAGGCTAAAACACTTGACATAGAGATGGAATGATGACTTAAGGTAAGGTGCTTGTTGTGAAGGGCTAGCAACTTGAATTTGATCCTGGAACCCACGTAAAGGCAGAAGACAAGAATCAACTCCTGAAAATTGTGCTCTGACCTTCACATGCAATCTGTGGCATGTGCACTCAACACACACACACACACACACACACAGTAAGATGTTTTCTAAATTGCTTTAAAATAGTTGAAATTGCAATTGTTGAGACTGGAGAGATAACTCAGAGGTTAAGAACATTTCATTGGCTGCTCTTGCAGAGGACCCAGGTTCAATTCC